CCCAAACATTTCTTACAGTCTAATCAACCCAGATTATTCTTTAGTCCTCATATTGGCTCTATGTGACCTTATGCCATCCATTTAGAAAGTCTTTCCCCCCTGTAGAAACCCTTCCTGTACTTCAAAATCCTACCCTTAGAGTTTGCAACCCTCCAAAATGCCATCTTTCACATGAAGCCTTTTTAAATCAATCCAACAGGAAGTATATGTCCTTCTTCTGAATTATGAAAGCAGGTTAATACCTGTTTTATGGTACCTATTTCACTTTGCATTTTAAGATCCAGACAGACAGAATACCATGAAATTCAAGATCTTTACAAGTGTACTCCCTCCCTACCTATCTGCTTCACCATCAGCTGGGCAAACCTCCGATGTGCGCCTGCCACACACAGCAGGTCCGCTTTCCTAGTTCTTTGTCTCAGTACACTAACGCTCGATCCGGAGTGCCTTCTACACCCCTTTCGATGGGGAGAAAACATAAGTATACTTTTTTTTTTTTTTACGATTTTTAACATTTATTTGGATTCATAGTTTTACAAAGGGGATTCCCTCTATCCTGTGGGAATAGAGTAGGATGGTCACATCTAGATTGTTAAATAGCTCAGGCTTTTTAAGAGGGATATTTAAACATAGAGTATATAACTTAAAATGCTGTCCAGTTACCACAAAAACAAAATAACAAGAAACTAGCATCATTCTACCTCTCTTCTCCCTACACCTGGGTTGTGGGGAGATTTGCCTTATTACTCAAAAGAGTCAAGAGTAATCACCCCAAGTTTAGGTTGAAGTGGGTAAGATTACAGCCAGAGATTAAAAGCTCACACATCCGCAAGCAAGGTCCCAGTCAGGCATCTGGAAGGGCAAATGGATGGCTGTGCTGGCTGAGTAAAAGGTGCTTTCGTGGAGCGCCTAAGTATACTTCTTAAACTTTACCTAAATATCACCTTCTGTTAAATGTCCCTAACTCCTTCAATCATCCCCTTCTTCTAACTCCCACAGCACTTTGTTCCACCACAGCACGCATCACACGCCAACTACTCACAGTTCACTTTTTCCGCCCTCTCTCACACTTGACCAATCATAGAGTTCCTAAAGAACCAGGACTGTGTCCTACCGGCCTCTGTAGCCACTCCACTCGGAATGGTGCCTAGTATTTAGGAAGTGGTTCAATAAATGAGCGTTTAATTCATTTAATAAGCGGCTCTTCCTACTAAACACTAAGCTCCTAGATTATAAAAGCATCAACACCAGTTACAAATCCGACTTACCTCCAACATTTCACGTGGGTAAAGACTGTAACTCAGGCACCTCCAAACCCTCATTCTCCCAGCCTCTACCTCCTGGCGCTCTGCACAGCCATCTGCGCACATCCAGTGCTTACACACAGGAGGCCCTCGAAATCATACTAGTAATCTAAGGTCCAAATCCCACGAACTCACGGGAATGCTGAGGTCGTCCCTGCGGGGAAACAAGAGGAAAGCCGGAGCCAAGGCTTAAACCAAACACCCAGGCAGGAGTCTGCAGCCCGCTTTCCTAACTCCTGAAACTCCTACGCCCTATACTCTCGCAAGAAGCCTGTTCCGGTCTGAGGAAGATGAAAGTATCCAAGCTCTCCGAATTTCCGTCCTGGGACGTGAGTGCTTCCAGCATCCCTCTCCTCTGCCTCTCTGCCCGGCCCACATCTCACAGCCCAGCGAGCCTCTCGCCGAACAACCAATCCCACGGCGGCCATCGGGTCACGTGTGCGTCCCTGAGGCGGGGCTGGTGCGAGGAGCAGCCAATCGAAGGCCGAGGCGAACGTCAGCGGAAGAGACAGCCGACTCATCTTTTCCGTCGCCTCTTTCGCGTTGCCATCTCTACCCTAAGATGTTAGGCCAATCGCTTTCCATGCTCTGAGCAATTCTCCCGCGCCCCCTCCACAATTCCCCGCCCTCGTTCGTCTGGGCTATTGATAGGCTGAGTGGCTTTGCCAGTACCGTTTCATAACTGGGAACGAGCATCTGAGCAGGATTATAGTGTGTGTGTGTGTGTGTGTGTGTGTGTGTGCGCGCGCGCGCGCGCGCGTGTGTGTGTGTGTGTGTGTGTGCGCGCGCGCGCGCGCGCCATGGGATTAAAGGAAGAAAGTTTTGGGTTTTTTTTTTTTTTTTTTTTGAGACGGTGTCTCAAGTGGCCCAGGCTGGAGTGCTGTGGCGCTATCTCGGCTCACTGCAACCTCTGCCTCCCGGGTTCAAGGGATTCTCGTGCCTCAGCCTCCCGAGTAGCTAGGATTACAAGCATCCACCATCATGCCCGGCTAATTGTTATATTTTTGTAGAGATGGAGTTTCACCATGTTGGCCAGGCTGGTCTTGAACTCCTTACCTCAGGTGATCCGCCCGTCTCGGCCACCCAAAGTGCTGGGATTTATAGGCGTGAGCCACCGCACCTGGCCTCAACTGTGTTTAGATTGGAGGGGGTCAGAAAGCGAAAGCAGGGAAAGCTATTGCAACGGTCCAGGTGTGAGCTAATAGGAGCTTAAATTGGACTGGCAGTGGAAACAGAGGAGTGACATGTGAGAGGCTAATGAAGATTGTGATGAGTGTTAGATAGGGATGGGTGGAAGGACGTGAAGAAATAAGATGGAGAGTTTTCTGTACCAGGCCCACTCAAGACCTCTTTCCTTCATTAAGGATTGGAGAGATCAGTGAAGAGAATGTGCCTTTGCATGTGCTATTTCCTCTGCCTGGTTCATCTTTCTCCCAGCCATCTCCCTTTCTCAACCTGTTGCTTTCTTACAGGTTCCAGCTCATATTATCATCTCATTTAGGAAATCTTTTCTGATTCTCACATGCACAGTTATTGTCATTCCTCAGAACATCTAGAGAACACTGCTTATACATTGCAAACTCTCCAGAGTGGCACTAGAGTGTAGTGGTCATGCATGTGGACTATTTTGGCAAGTAACTTGAATTCTCTGTTCTTCAGTGTCACCATTTGTAAAAAGGAACATAATAATAGCATCTGCCTGATAGAACTGTTATAAGATGAATGAGAACAATGCCTAATACGTAGAGTGCTCAGTCGATGTTATATTGTATATATTGTACTGTCTTGAGTTGTTGAGTACATGTTTTCCCTCTTTAGATTGTGAATGATCTCAGTTCACTGCAACCTCCGCCTCCTGGGTTCAAGTGATTCTCCTTCCTCAGGCTCCCAAATAGCTGGGATTACAGACGTGCACCACCACATCCAGCTGATTTTTGTATTTTTAGTAGAGATGGGTTTTTGCCATGTTGGCCAAGCTGGTCTCGAACTCCTGACGTCAAGTGATCCACCTACCCAATTTGGCCTCCCAAAGTGCTGAGATTACAGGTGTGAGCCATCGAGCCCAGCCGGGATGTATGTCTTATTCTTCTAGCTAATAGTAAGGTTTTGTGGCAGAATGAGAGTACTTGAGCTTTGGATTCATATAGATCAGTGTTCAACTCTCAGCTCTGCTACTTACTAGAATTGTAACTTTGAGCTTTACCTGAATGAACTCAGTGTTGTTTTTTTTTTTTTTCATTTATTTAACGTGAAAATCATGCATGTCTTGCAAGTTATTATGAGAATTATATTTGAGAATGAAAGTTGCATATTTGGCTCAAGGAAGGCAGTTACTAAACGAGAGCTTTTATTTTGATGGGTAGCTCCAGAGTGTAGCACCATGTTTAGAACATTCCAAGCACTCAACAATTGGTTATTATTATTATTTGAGACAGAGTCTCTCTCTGTCATCCAGGCTAGAGTGCATTGCTGCGATATTGGTTCACTGCAACCTCTGCCTCCTGGGTTCAAGTAATTCTCATGCCTCAGCCTCCTAAGTAGCTAAGTTTACAGGTGCCTGCCACCACACTCTGCTAATTTTTGTATTTTTAGTAGAGACAGGGTTTGGTCATGTTGGCCAGGCTGGTCTTGAATTCCTGACCTCAGGTGATCTGCCCGCCTCAGCCTCCCAAAATTCTGGGATTACAGGTGTGAGCCACTGCGCCTGGCCGTCTGTTGGTTTTTACCATTTGTTTTTAAATTATGAAAAACAATTTATACGCATTGTAAACCATTAAAAATATAGATTAGTTAAAGACAATAAAGGGAAGAATAAGAAACTAATTAAAAAATAACTTTTAATTCTCCTACCCAGGGATAGCCAGCTCTTAATCTATGAAGATTTTTCTAGGCTGGGTCTTGTGTTTAACAAAGATGAAAAGTGGCAAAAAGAATAAAAGTAAATAGAATAGAGCAAGCCATTTAGAAGGTAATGAAATAGGTTAATATCGCCCACAATGAATAGGTACAGAATAGCCTAATTTAAAATAAAAATAGGCCGGGCGCGGTGGCTCACGCCTATAATCCCAGCACTTTGGGAGGCCGAGGTCAAGAGATCGAGACCATCCTGGTCAACATGGTGAAACCCCGTCTCTACTAAAAATCCAAAAAATTAGCTGGGTATGGTGGCACCCGCCTGTAGCCCCAGCTACTTGGGAGGCTGAGGCAGGAGAATTGCTTGAACCCAGGAGGCAGAGGCTGAGGTGAGCCAGGATCACGCCATTGCACTCCAGCCTGGGTAACAAGAGCAAAACTCTGTCTCAAAAAAAAAAAAAAGAAAAGAAAAGAAAAGGAAGTGAGAATAAAAGAATCCTGGCCGGACGTGGTGCCTCATGCCTGTAATCCTAGCACTTTGGGAGGCTGAGGTGGGTGGATCACCTGAGGTCAGGAGTTCAAGACCAGCCTGGCCATCAGGATGAAAACCCATCTTAAAAAAATAAAAATAGAGCTTTACATATAAAATTTTCCGGGGGCTGAAGGTATATGTATGATATGTGGAAGTGAAACTGTGTCCCTCAGAAGTGCTAGGTTTAACTTTTGCCTTTCACTTGAAAACTCCTGCTTTTTCTCATTACAACCTCATTCACTCCCTGAGGTCAGAGCCTGGCCTGCTAATCTGCCCTGTCACAGGCTCTTCAGGAGTCCTTATCGGCCTTCCTCAGTGTGTCAGTGTTATGAAGAAGTGGAGAGTCTGCTCCTCCCAAGCTAATATCAAAGGGCAAAAGGGGCTGTGATAGAAGCAAACATTCAGACTACAGCCAGATGTGGAACTGGAGCAGCAGGAGGAAACGCAAGAACATAGGTAAAAAAGAAAGAAAGAAAGAATGAAATTCTTTAAAAAAATCTTATCTGTCTAATTTTAGGTGCAGTCTACATCTGAGGGCATGAGGGATTAGTAAAATAGTATTTAAGGGAAAAATTTGTAAAGGAAAATGAGTAAAACATTCTGGGAAGTCCAGGTGCAGTGGCTCACGCTTGTGATCCCAGTACTTTGGGAGACTGAGGCGGGCAGATCACCTGAGGTCAACAGTCTGAGACCAGCCTGGCCAACATGGTGAAGCCCCATCTACTAAAAATACAAAAATTAGTTGCGAATGTGGCTCATGTCTGTAGTCCCAGCTACTCTGGAGGCTGAGAGAGGAGAATTGCTTGAACCTGGGGGGTGGAGGTTCCCGTGAGATCACGCCACTGCACTCTAGCCTAGGCACAGAGTGAGACTCTGTCTCAAAAAAAAAAAAAAAAAAAAAAAAAAAATTCTGGGAAATGTGGAAAGGATATTCATCTGGAGCTAGAATCTCAGGAAATGTTGTATTTATCATAGTTGTTATCAGCATTCAAATAACATTGATGAGACTTAGGAGTCACAAGACTATAGGGCCTGCTAGTTCAAATCAATTAGATTTGTTTTGTGGGTCCCCTCAGTGGAAGTTATGGGGAGACAAATTGCGGTTGAAAGTAAGGAAACCATTTCTAACACAGATGTCAGAAAACAGGAGGGACTAGAGGGACTATTTGATAGGTAGTGAGTTGCTCATGGCCAGAGATTTGCATGGCAACTTGTTGGGAGCTGGGAATATTATAGAGGAGATTTTAGAATTCGACAGATTGTTGGACTGGAGGATCTTTAAAGTCCTTTCCAACGCTTCTGTGAGTCAATGATATAAATAGAATGTTATGGGAAAATTCCCTAAGGGCCATAAAATACTACATTTACATGTACCTGTAGAAGAGGCTCACATTCTAAAAACAATTCCCAGGTCGATTCTGGTTTTCCTGAAGGAAGTGAAAAGGCAACCAAGAACAAACTGATGTCAGAGGAGTGTACAAATCTTGCCGGATGCCTGCTTTCTTCCTCTTGGTGAGTACATACCACACCCACAGGGCCCCTGCTTTGCAAAGATCACACAGAAAATGGGTTCTCTTCTTCTAGAGGAAGAATTTTAGTTGAGATAGCAAATATTTTGTTTTGCAATTAACTAAAGGTAAGGGGATTCTTTCTGAAATATTTGCTTCAGAGTTCAAATTTCAATTTAGGTGGCTATTCTCTGGTCTATGAAGCAAAAGAAGGGTGACAGTAATTTAATGACCATGACCCAAAAACTCATATTCTTTTCTAAGCTTTAGAGGTTTCCACAGCACAGGGCAGAACTATTAGAAGGGAAGGTAACGGCATGATCTTGGCTCACCACAACCTCTGCCTCCTGGGTTCAAGCGATTCTCCTGCCTCATTCTCTCAAGCAGCTGGTATTACAGGCATGCACCACCATGCCTGGCCAATTTTTGTATTTTTAGTACAGTTTTCATGTTTTCTCCATGTTGGTCAGATTGGTCTTGAACTCTCAACCTCAGATGATCCACCACCTCGGCCTCCCAAAGTGCTGGGATTACAGTGCTGAGATTACAACGTGAGCCCCTGCGCCTGGCTATTTTTATTTTTTTAGACAGAGTCCCACTCTGCTGCCTAGGCTAGAGTGCAATAGTGTAATCATGGCTCACTGCAGCCTCAAACTCCTGGGCTCAAGAGATCCTCCCACCTCAGCCTCCTAGGTAGCTGGGACTGCAGGTGTGCACCACCATACCTGCCTAATTTTAAAACTTTTTAAATCTTTTGTAAAGATGGGGTCTTCCTATGTTGTCCATGCTGGTCTCAACTCCTGGCCACAAGCAATCCTCCTACATCCACCTCCCAAAGTGCTGAGATTACACATGTGAGCTACCACACCCAGCCTATGTTTGTGTTTACAGCAAGATCTTCTACAGTACATATACTATAAAATGATACTTCCTTAGTTCTCTAGTGCCTTCCTTTCTTCCCCTTTTGAATTATAAATAAATGCATTGTCTCACTTCAACATCTATTTATGCAGATTTACTAATAACTTACCTGGGCTCCTGTGCCAACCTGTGCCCTTTATATCCAGGCTCAGTGTTGGTGTTTCCTGATTTAAATGGAAACTGTTTGAAAATGTTAGCAATTTAATTTTTCCATTATGACAAATATTAAGCATTCACCTTTATCAATGCATACTTATTCTGGCAAGGCTAAGGATATTTGGCAAAGTGATTAGAAAACAGCATATCAAAGATAATTTCCAGTTGTGTGGGGTGGCTCACATCTGTAATCCCAGCACTTTAGGAGGCCCAGGCAGGAGGACTGTAACATAGCAAGACTCCATCTCTCAAAAAAAGAAAAAGAAAAAAGAAAAATTAGCCAGGCATGGTGGCATGTGTCTGTAGTCTCAGCTACTAGAGAGACTGAAGTTGGAGAATCATTTGAGCTGGGAGGTTGAGGTTGTGTGAACTTTTTTTTTTTTTTTTTTGAGAGGGAGTCTTGCTCTGTCACCCAGGCTGGAGTGCAGTGGTTCAATCTTGACTCACTGCAACCTCCGCCTCCCAGGTTCAAGCCATTCTCCTGACTCAGCCTCGCCAGCAGCTGGAACTACAGGTATGCACCACCATGCCCAGCTAATTTTTGTATTTTTAGTAGAGACGAGGTTTCACCATATTGACCAGCTGGTCTTGAACTCCTGACCTCATAATCTACCTGCCTCTGTCTCCCAAAGTGCTGGGATTGCAGGCGTAAGTCACCACGCCCGCCTGCAGTGAACTATTATTGTGCCACTGCACTCCAACCTGAACAGTAGAGCAAGATTCTGTCTCTCAAAAACAAAAAACAAACAAAACAACAACAACAACAAAATATATAGACAGATGATTTCCAACATTAAAATGTATCTTCAGTAATTAATAGCTTTGAAGAAAATATTGTAATCTTTGGAATTATTGTTAATGTAGAAACAACACTTCTGCCCTAATTATAGGAACTTCTTTCTGTTATTGTTTGGAGCACAGAGTGGCTGCTGTGATGGAGAGTCTCAAGACGGATACTGACATGTCCTATCCTGAGATAACAGTAGATGTGGGCAGAGTGATCTTTGGAGAAGAAAACAGAAAGAAGATGACCAATAGCTGTTTGAAAAGATCTGAGAATTCTAGAATTATCCGGGCTATATGTGCGCTGTTAAATTCTGGAGGTGGTGTGATCAAAGCAGAGATTGATGACAAAACCTATAGTTACCAATGCCATGGGCTAGGACAGGATTTGGAAACTTCTTTTCAAAAACTGCTTCCTTCAGGTTCACAGAAATACCTTGACTACATGCAGCAGGGGCACAATCTCCTGATTTTTGTGAAGTCATGGAGCCCAGATGTTTTCAGCCTTCCACTGAGGATTTGCAGCTTGCGCTCCAATTTATATCAGAGAGATGTGACTTCTGCTATCAACTTGAGTGCTAGCAGTGCCCTGGAGCTTCTCAGAGAGAAAGAGTTTAGAGCCCAAAGAGGAAGACCAAGGGTGAAGAAGTTGCCTCCTCAGCAGGTTCTTGATAGATACATTCAGGAAGAGGAAGATATGAGAATATTTGCCTCAGAATTTTTTAAAAAGGACAAACTCATGTATAAGGAGAAACTCAACTTTACTGAGTCAACACATGTTGAATTTAAAAGGTTCACCACCAAAAAGATTGTACCTCGGATTAAAGAAATGCTACCTCATTATGTTTCCGCATTTGCCAACACTCAAGGGGGATACATCCTCATTGGAGTGGATGATAAGAGCAAAGAAGTGGTTGGATGTAAGCGGGAAAAAGTGAACCCTGACTTATTAAAAAAAGAAATTGAAAACTGCATAGAAAAATTGCCTACATTCCACTTCTGCCATGAGAAGCCAAAGGTAAATTTCACCACAAAAATCCTGAATGTGTACCAAAAAGATGTCCTGGATGGTTATGTCTGTGTGATTCAAGTGGAGCCCTTCTGTTGTGTGGTGTTTGCAGAGGCCCCAGATTCCTGGATCATGAAAGACAATTCTGTCACACGGCTGACAGCTGAGGAGTGGGTGGTCATGATGCTGGACACTCAGCCAGGTAAAGGGAAGTGAAGCCATTGTCCCTGTCAGCAGGGAGGAACCCCTTTCTCTGCCTTTTGTGGGGATTTGATCATATGTTTTAGTTAAAAAACAGTAATTTATTTTTGCTTGCAAGTGTTCTCCCATTACAGTGTTCTTTATCTAATATTTTTAGTTCCAAAGAGTCAGAATATAAACTGTTTGAGGTCAAGAAATGTTTGGATTCTATGACTTAAACAAGTTTTTTTGTTTGTTTGTTTATTTGTTTTTTTTGAGAGTCTGTCACCCAGGCTGGAGTGCAGTGGTGTGGTCTTGGCTCACTGCAACCTCCACCTCCCATGTGCAAGTGATTCTCGTGCCCCAGCCTCCCAAGTAGCTGGGATTACAGGCGCATGCCACCACGTCTGGCTAATTTTTGTATTTTTAATAGAGATGGGATTTCTCCGTGTTACCCAGGCTGGTCTCAAACTTCTGACCTCAAATGACATGCTCGCCTCTATCTTCCAAAGTGCTGAGATTATGCGTGTGAGCCACTGCTCCCAGCCAGCCTAAACAACTTGTAAAGTTTCAGTATGCCATCAGCTATGAGTTAGGAAAGCTCTCCTTTTCTTATCTACAAACCTGTTGAAAAAACTGTGCAGGCTGATCATCCTAGTCAAAATTGTAATAGTCTTACTTTAGAGATGGTATTTTAGAGAAACGTTTAAGAATGACTCCAAGGACAGGCGCAGTCCTAGCACTTTGGGAGGCCTAAGTGGGCAGATTGCCTGAGCCAAGGAGTTCTAGATCAGCCTGGTCAACATGGTGAGACCCCATCTCTCCCCCAAATATAAAACTAGCCAAGTGTGGCGGTGTATGCCTGTGGTCCCAGCTGCATGGGAGGCTGAGGTGAGAGGATTGCTTGAGCCTGGGAGGTGGAGGTTGCAGTGAGCAGAGATCACCCCACTACACTCCAGCCTGGACAACAGAGTAAGACCCTGTCTCAAATAAAATAAAATAAAATAAAATAAAGTAAAATAAAATAAAATGACTCCACTACTCCACTAATTCTTCCAAGCGAAACATTGTTGACAAATTTGAATTGTTTTAGTAACATTAGGAGCTAATAACCTTAAACCACTGGACTTAGGGTACAATCAAGTGGGGAAAAATGATGCAAAAGGAGATGCTAGCGCAGGGGGGTGGGGGGGGAGCAGGACCCCTGTTGTTCTCTCTTATCTTTCAGTTTTGCTTGGAAATGATTCCTAAGCAATCTATAAAGGACTGTAGGCTGAACTAAGCCTATCTGCTTGCCTTCATGGCCAGTATGTTTTACATTTGATCAAGACTCGAGTGATTAGAGAAATTTATTGGGTCATTTTTTCTCTTGTTTTAAATTTGTTTGAGCTCACTTCTCTCCTCCTCTCCCCTAAAGATCCTGCCACTTTTGATTCCATCTAACATTATATGGGGACATAAACAATTTTAACAACTTTTTTTTTTTGAGACAAGGTCTTGCTTTGTAGCCAAGGCTAGAGTGCAGTAGTGCGATCTCGGCTCACTGCAGCTTCTACCTCCCAGGTTCAAGCAATTCTCCCACCTCAGCCTCTCGAGTAGCTGGGATTGCAGGCACACCACCACACCCAGCTAATTTTTGTATTTTTAGTATACATGGGGTTTTATCATGTTGGCCAGGCTGGTCGTGAACTCCTGACCTCAGGTGATCCGCACCCCCCTCGGCCTCCCAAAGTGCTGGGATTACAGGCATGAGCCACTGCACTCAGCCAGCAACATTTTTTAAATACTGTGGTTTTAATTCTTGCTGATCCCCCCTAGGTGCCTTTTCTTTTTCTTTCTTTTTTTTTTTTAAGATGGGGTTTCACCATGATGGCCAGGCTGGTCTTGAACTCCTGACCTCAGGTGATCCACCCACCTCGGCCTCCCAAAGTGCTAGGATTACAGGCATGAGCCACCGCGCCCGGCCCGCCTTTTCTTCTTAGAGATAACCTGGAATCAAAATATTATAGTTGAGGCCGGGCGCGGTGGCTCACGCCTGTAATCCCAGGACTTTGGGAGGCCAAGGCGGGCAGATCAGTAGGTCAGGAGTTTGAGACCAGCCTGGCCAACGTGGTGAAACCCCGTCTCTACTAAAAATACAAAAATTAGCCGGACATGGTGGCACGCACCTGTAATCCCATCTACTCAGGAGGCTGAGGCAGGAGAATTGCTTGAACCCGGGAGGCAGAGGTTGCAGTGAGCCGAGATCACGCCATTGCACTCCAGCCTGGGCAACAAGAGCACAACTCCGTTCTCAAACAAACAAACAAACAAATTATTAGAGTTGAAAGAAATCTTAGAAATTATCACTTCACTCCTGCGTCAGAAAGAGATGAAATGACTTGCCCAAGCCGAGTCACACAGTGAGTTACAATATGTATGACATGACCCCTGCAGGAATTCCCAGACTTCCTTTCCTAACATATGTGAGCTGTCTGAGGCATAGTAAGTATGACTGCTCAGGCACCTGTGCACATCACAGGTCTCTAGTAAGAGGAGCCCAAAAAGAGGCTTTTTTGGTTTTTTACTTTTTATTTTTTATCTGAAACAACTTTCCATGTAATTGTCTAGCTCCTTCCAGTTTGATCACAGACTACAACTCTTACCTGATTTCATCAGCTTCATCTGAACGGAAAAGTCCTGGATATTCCATAAAAGTCTATGAATTGAAGGAGGCTCTGCAACGACATTTATTTCCAGGTATTCCCTCTTGATTTCAGCTGAGGGGACTGTTTGTTTTCTAAAATTGAGTTGGGAGGTATTAGTAGCAATGAGTTCTCCTTAGAGAAGGTCAAATGAAGAACTTAGCAGAAAATGATCCTGAAATTTTATTTATTATTATTATTTTTCTCTCTCTCTTTTTTTTTACTTTGGTGCCATGACTTGGATTGAAATTTTATTTATATAAAAATTATACACACACACATATATATATATTTATATAAGTCTGACCCTTGTTTCCCAGTCATCTGATTCCCACTATTACTATTTCCCTGTGCTTTTCAACTTCTCGTGACATATGGCTTTTGTTTTCCAAATTTGAGAGTGCAGAACATTTCTTAGGTATCTACCATCAAAAAACTGCCCCTGGCTTTCCAATGCAGAAGGAGCCATTGTGTCGTCTGCACTTCTTCTAAAGCAGGGTTTCTCAACCTCAGCACTATTGTCACTTGAGTCAGATAACTTTTGTTGTGGGAGAGAGAGCCCTGTGAATTGTAGAATATTTAGCAGCATTCCTGGCTGGTACCTACTATATGTCAGTAGCTCCTCTCCAATTGTGACAATAAAAAATTCTCGGGCCGGGCGCGGTGGCTCAAGCCTGTAATCCCAGCACTTTGGGAGGCCGAGGCAGGTGGATCACGAGGTCAAGAGATCGAGACCATCCTGGTCAACACGGTGAAACCCCGTCTCTACTAAAACTATAAAAAATTAGCTGGGCATGGTGGCGCGTGCCTGTAATCCCAGCGACTCAGGAGGCTGGGGCAGGAGAATTGCCTGAACCCGGGAGGCGGAGGTTGCGGTGAGCCGAGATCGCGCCATTGCACTCCAGCCTGGGTAACAAGAGCGAAACTCCGTCCCAAAAAAAAAAAAAAAATTAAAAAAAAAAAAAAATTCTCAGGCCAGCATGGTGGCTCATGCCTGTAATCCAGCACTTTGGGAGGCCAAGGCAGGCAGATCACCTCAGGTCAGGAGTTCAAGATGAGCCTGCCAACATGATGAAATCCTGTCTCTACTAAAAATACAAAAATTAGCCAGGTACGGTGGCATGTGACTGTAATCTCAGCTACTAAGGAGGCTGAGGCAGGAGAATCGCCAAATCCGGGAGGCAGAGGCTGCAGTGAGCTGAGATTGTGCCACTGCACTCCAGCCTGGGCGACAAAGAGACTGTCTCAAAAACAAAATTCTCTAGACATCGCTGAATGTCCTTGGGGATGGGGGTGAAGTGGGGGAGCAAAACTGCTACTGGTTAGAATCACAATTCTAAAGAAAAGCTCTTATTTTCCCAAATGCACCAGGTATCATTTCTTTCTGCAATGTTGCAGGAATACCTACCATTGACTTTTGTAAGTTTTGGTAACATCTATTCCTTCAATTTTCAGTGACACAGGAAGAGGTACAATTTAAACCAGAATCCCTCTGTAAGAAGCTGTTCTCAGATCATAAAGAGCTGGAGGGATTAATGAAGACCCTGATACATCCTTGTTCTCAGGGAATTGTGATATTTTCTAGAAGCTGGGCTGGTGATGTTGGCTTCAGGAAAGAACGGAATGTCCTGTGTGATGCTCTCCTAATAGCAGTTAACAGCCCCTTGGTACTCTATTCAATCTTAATAGACCCCAGTTGGCTTGGAGGACGTGAATATGCCCGAAACACAGCTCATCGGTTAAAGCAGAAACTGCAAACTGTTGGTGGTTACGCAAGGAAAGTGTGCATCATTCCAAGGGTGATACACCTGGCCAGCACACAGAGTAGACCTGGTGAGATCCCCCTGTGCTACCCGAGGTCCTATAGGCTTGCTGATGAGGAGGAAATGGAAGACTTGCTGCAGGCTCTTGTGGTGGTCTCCCTGTGCTCCAGATCTCTTCTGAGCGACCAGCTGGGCTGTGAGTTTTTCAACTTGCTCATAATGGAGCAGAGCCAGTTGCTTTCTGAGAGCCTTCAAGAGACGCGTGAATTATTTATCTACTGCTTTCCAGGAACCAGGAAGACAGCTCTAGCCATACAAATCATGGAGAAAATTAAGGACTTGTTTCACTGCAAGCCAAAAGAGATCCTCTATGTTTGTGAAAGTGACTCCCTAAAGGATTTTGTGACGTAAGAGTTTTACCAACTAAACACACACAAAAATATATTCAATCAGTCTTTTCAAAAGTGTCACAAAGTAGTTTATGTTTTTAGTTTAAGTTTTTGCAATGCCTTAGCTGCATAAGTGCAAGAGCGCAAACTATACACACATTTCCAAATAATCAGGGAATTGATCTGCAATCAGGTAATTTATAATGTTCAACTTTAAACATCTCATTATAAATAACTCAAATGTACATAACTTAAATTTATAGAACCAGAAACACTTTTTTCCACAATCCATGGCCTTAATTTTAAGAAAAATAGAAATGGCCGGGCGCGGTGGCTCAAGCCTGTAATCCCAGCACTTTGGGAGGCCGAGGCGGGTGGATCACAAGGTCAAGAGATCAAGACCATCCTGGTCAACATGGTGAAACCCCGTCTCTACTAAAAATAAAAAAAAATAGCTGGGCATGGTGGTGCGTGCCTGTAATCCCAGCTACTCAGGAGGCTGAGGGAGGAGAATTGCCTGAACCCAGGAGGCGGAGGTTGCGGTGAGCTGAGATCGCGCCATTGCACTCCAGCCTGGGTAACAAGAGTGAAACTCCATCTCAAAAAAAAAAAAAAAAAAATGAAAAGAAAAATAGAAATGAACCCATTTTGCTTTAAGTATACTTTTTGTTTGATATGTAATGTTTTAAAGTCATAAGGTGTTTCTGCTAATTAGACATTGCACCTAGCATAAACCTGAATTTAAATACTATTTGATTTTATTCATAAAATATTTTCATTTTTGAGTTGTTCTGCATCAGTAATTTTAGAAAATACACAAATTCGCTGATTTAAATCTTTAGCTTTTAGTAAAACGAGGGTGAAATCATTATTATTTTTTATTTGGTTTTGTTATTCAACAAATCTTTTTGAGCACTGTTGATACGGTATCTACTGTGCTACATTTACTGTTAGGGGAGAAAACATATTGAGGAGCTTGCCATAAAAAAATAGACAATGTATTATATAATAATAAAGACATACTTTATTTATTTATTATTTATTTTTGAGATGGAGTCTCACTTTGTCACCCAGGCTGGAGTGCAGCGACATGATCTCAGCTCACTGCAACCTCTGTCTCTGGGGTTCGAGTGATTCTCCTCCCTCAGCCTCCTGAGCAACTGGGATTACAGGTGTGCACCACCACGCTGGGCTAATGTTTGTATTTCTAGTAGAGATGGGGTTTCACCATGTTGGCCAGGCTGGTCTCGAACTCCTGACCTCAAGTGATCCACCTGCCTCCTCCTGGCAAAGTGCTGGGTTTACAGGCGTGAGCCACTGTGCCTGGCCTCATGCCCATTTTAACAGGTTAGAGGTTGGTTGGCAAATATTCCCCAGTGGAGGAGACCATTGGACACACTGCTAAACAGTCAGTATGAGAAGTAAATCAAATGGGAGAGGGCTTTCTAGGCAAAAGGCACAGCGCGTTCAAAGACATGGAGACACTAGAGAACCAGAATGGTAGGTCTGACTGAGCCAGTGCAGAGTGTGGGTATACAGCAGGTAGTATGTTGAAAAGGGGGCAGAAGCCAGATTATGAGGAATCCTGCAGATTGTGCTGAAGACTACGTTCTTTAGTAAGATTTATAACTAAGTTTCAAAATACCCCAGTCAAAAGGCTAACTCAACAAATATCTATTGAAGCCCTAATGTGAGAGGGATACAAAGATGGCTAAGATCAGTGCTTTTATTTGAGTCCACACAGTTCAAACCAGAAGTGAAGAACATAGTTATGATTCAAGGCATAATACAGGAGGTAGTAAAGCCCTAGGAACTGTGTATGTAAAGTCATGGAATCTGTAGGGATGAGTGATGTTTCTTGGATCCAAATTAAAGGAGGCAAAAAACAACCATATTTGTTAAGAAAAAGTACATATATGCTAAAGCATACTATAAAGGAAAATTACCAAGTAAATGAGGTAGCCCCAGAGAAGCATAGCCCATAGATTTGGTACCCTACTTGATGTGTCATGGAACTCAGCATCCTCTCGATGTTTCTCTTGCCAAATCTAAAGGAAGTTAGAGGAATTTGAACTAGTCCATTTTTTTTTGCTCATAAAAATTATGATATGCATCTATATAACTGTTCTCCAGCTCTACAAAGGATAGAAAGTAAAGAAATGGTAGTAACAAGTGTTAAGTTAACTTTAAGATTTCCTTTAGATGTAATGAACTAGCCGGGCACAGTGGCTCATGCCTGTAATCCCAGCACTTTGGGAGGCTGAGGTGGGCGGATCACCTGAGGTGGGGAGTTTGAAACCAGCCTGACCAACATGGTGAAACCCCGTCTCTACTAAAAATACAAAAAAAAAAAAAAAAAAAATTAGCTGGGTGTGGTGGCGCATGCCTGTAGTCCCAGCTACTAGGGAGACTGAGGCAGGAGAATCGGTTGAACCCGGGAGGTAGATGGGTTACAGTGAGCTGAGATCATGCCATTGCACTCCAGCCTGGGCAATAAGAGCAAAACTTTGTCTCAAAAACAAACAAACAAACAAGCAAGCAAAAGATGTAATGAACTTGTCTTCAGGATTGCCAAAAGTAGAAATGGGCTACTAATCGAAATAATACAGTCGGTTTCCTGGGTTCATTTCAGAAGTTTCACATGCAGACTTAGCTGGACAAACCCAAAGAGCAGGGCATAAAATTATGCATTCTGTCTGTCAGGTAACTTGTAATTAGAACAGTTTTGTGGTATTCACACTACTGAATCAATGACTCAGCCTGTGGATGAGCATCAGCCTCTGATTCCATTACAGAGTAATGAATGCTGATATTCCCTTTGTTGATATGGCTCAAGCCGTTTTCTCTTTCCTTCTTATAGCCAACAAACCACCTACCAAGCTGTGACTCGGAAAACTTTCATGCAAGGGGAGTTTCTAAAGATTAAACACATAGTGATGGATGAGACTGAGAATTTCTGTAGTAAATACGGCGATTGGTACATGAAGGCTAAGAACATCACACATCCAAAGGTGAGGTGGCCTGGAAGTGAAAACCATCACCATGGGATTCTCTGGCTTTTTCTTGACCCTTTTCAAATCCATCACGCAGATGTCAATGGCCTTCCCCCTCCATCTGCTCAGTTTCCTCGAAAAACAATCAGCAGAGGGATCCACTGTGCTCTGGAAATAGCAAAGGTCATGAAAGAAGAAATGAAGAGGATCCAAGAAAATCCTCCCTCCAACATGTGTCCAGACACATTAGCATTGTTCAGGGAGGCTGCCTATGAGGAAGCCATGCATGCCCAGGCTCTGCCTGGGGTGTGTGAGACAAAGACTAATTTGACAACGGAACAAATAGCTCACTATGTGGCAAGAAAATGTCATAGCCTGTTCCAGTATGGCTATCTGCCCAAAGATATAGCAATTCTGTGCAGGAGAGGGGAGGACAGAGGACGCTATAAGCTTGCACTGCTAAAAGCAATGGAATTAACTGAGACCCACAGAGCACCAGAGGTTGTGTTTAGCCAGGCCACTGGTGTTTGCGGAAGTCACATTGTTTTAGACAGTATTCAGCAATTTTCAGGTCTGGAGAGGACTATCGTGTTTGGGCTTAGTCCAGAATGTGACCAGTCAGAGGAATTTCATAAGCTCTGCTTTGCCTCAAGAGCCATTAAACACCTCTACTTGCTTTATGAAAAGAAAGCAGTCTTCTGAAAATTATTACAAATAATACAGGAGGCAGGAAGAGCAGAGTCCTTTCTCCTAGACAGGTGGCAGTGATTCCTTTTTAATATTACAAGTAAGGAAACCAAGACACATCAGTATTTCCTGGAGCCACAGAAATGTCTCTTAGGGCTGAACCTTCCATTCTATTTTAATGCCACTGGCCTTTTCACAGTCTCGTTCACCTCCTACCTACACAATTACAACAGACTTATAATTAGTCCCCCATCTCCAGCTTTCCTACTCAATCCAGCTGTCATCCATCAAACAGAGTTCTCCTCAAATAGAGAACTGACTTTATGTAATACCTTGCTAACCTATCTTCAGTGAGTCCCCACAGCCTTCAAACCTAACCAGTTTTTAAGGCTTTCATTAATATGCCCTGACTTGCTTTCCCAATCACATCCTTTATTATATCTCTATCTCCCAGTGTTTCTCATGCACCCCAGCCTACCTGGCCTATTTTTCGGATGGTGGTATGGTGCCCTCCAGGCAAGTTACTTTGCCTTTGTCACAAAAGCAGCCAGTTGACTGGCACCTCATGCTGGCTATGGGTCTCAAACTTTTCAGGTCCAGAACTCGATTGCCTTTTTGCACCAAGTCTAGATCAGTCTCTTGGAGATAATTTATGCTAATTAAGCTCACAAAGGACCAAATCGTAAATGAAAATGCTACTCTGTTAATTTATAGTGAGGACCATAGTAATAAGTGGGCCAGTGCCCTCAACAGTAATATAGGAAGCCAAATTATATGAGCATAGCCTTGCAGTAAGGGAAGCTAGTAATTTGATTCAATTATTAAAAGTCTTCAGGCTGTATTAGACTATTGCAATATCTATTAGGTTGGTGTGAAAGTGCAAAAACCGCATTTACTTTTGAACCAACCTCATATAAAATAAAATTGAAATCATTTCTAAAATAAAGATATTTCCATCAAAAGGACTAGACAAGTTAGTTTACAGGTTTACAAGCTAAAGCAAATTTAGAATGCTAAGGATGACTACTTTTCATTATTCTCTGCCCTCAGATGAAATCTTTTTTTCTGTCCTGATTACTAAAGTTTCCAGGTTGATCACCAACCCTTTCCTCACTGCCCCCAACATATACAAATTTGGCCTACCTTCAATCTCTACGTATATGAATACACTCACGTAGGCTAGGAACTCCTTATACTCTGCTGCTAGCCTGGAAAGTAGTCTTCCTATAAGGGGCCTTTGCACATTGCTGATCTCTTCCATTATGACTTGGTGTTAATTTTTAAATCCAGCTCTCAGAGTTTATGGGGATCCTGGGTGTCAACTTTATCACCGACAGCACCCCCACACATCCCTGACTCCTGCTCTGCACCTGTGCCATTTTCTCAGTCTTTAAACCCTTTTCTGTCCCCTCCACCTTTGAAATCCTTACTTGTCAATCAAATCCTTGTTCAAATGCCTATTACCTCAATTAAACTTTTACTATCGTCCTAAGTGAAACTTTCCAATGTAAATGATACATATTAGAGATAAAATCAAAGTTTCCTTTTTCTAGTCAGCTCCCCGAATGGCTGAGCCAGTCCTGTGCTCTTCAAAATACTCTTGCTTTTGCAAGGATTTTTAAACTGCTTTGGAAGTATTCTTATTTCCAAACTGTTTTTAACTTCTAGAAAAGTTTAAGACAACTTGATTGACTCTGGGGAGGCTTGAATCTGGGAAAACATGGGGAAATTTTGGTTATAATTTTAGATAAAGCCCCTCAGTCTTCCAAGAGGTGGAAGAGTAGGCAGGGTTTCTAGAAGCTCTCTTAGCTACCTTTTTGAATTATTTAGAAGAGCTAGCCTGCACGTAGGCATGGATTGAAAAGAAAAACCTCTCCCTTGCTTCCCACTGCTCTAATTACCTGGTGTTTCTTCCTTTTTACCTTTCCTTGGGAGCTTTAGGGTACTTTTGGGTAGAAGGAAATGAAGTTTAGCAATTAGTTTTGCAAAAGATGCCAATGCATTAACATTCTGATGAAGGAGATGTATGAATTCCATAAAAATAAAGAGTCAAAGTCAACAGGATAAGAAGGAGTATGGGTGGGACAGAGAATTGCTATATTTTAGTCATAAGCCTTAGTACCATTTGACTTTTAAAAATACATGCATGCATTATATAATTTTTTTCTCTGACACCCCAACCCATTATATGATTTTTAATAAAAATTGATTTGTAAAGAATTGTTTTGAATATTGAATTTGGGAGTCTTTGTTAGTTCTTAGTCTAGTGAAACAACTCAATCAGGATGGAAGTAGAATAACGAACTCAGGGATTCTCAACCCTGGATGCTCATTAAAATTTCCTGGGGAACTTTAAAAAAATATCAGCAATCAGGCCAGACACCAGACTAATTAACAGCATGGCTAGATACAGGCTTGAGCATTGGTATTTATCAAATGTTGTCCAGGCAGGGTGCAATGGATCATGCCTATAATACCAGAACTTTGAAAGGCTGAGGTTGGGGGGAAATCACTTGAGGCCAGGAGCAACATAAGCAAGACCCATCTCTACAAAAAATTTAAAAAAAAAAATTAGCTGGGCATGGTGGTGCATGCTTTTAGTCCTAGCTACTCAAGAGGCCAAGGTGGGAGAATTGCTTGAGCCCAGGAGTTTGAGGCTATAGTGAGCTATGATTACTCCTCTGCATTTCAGCCTGGGTGACAGAGCAAGACTCTTATCTCTTAAAAAAAAAAAAAAAAAGAAGAAGAAGAAGTTGGCTGGGCGCAGTGACTCACGCCTGTAATCCCAGCACTTCGGGAGGCCAAGACGGGCAGATCACGAGGTCAGGAGTTCGAGACCAGCATGATCAACATGATGAAACCCCGTCTCTACTAAAAATACAAAGAAAATTAGCTGGGCATGGTGGTGCATGCCTGTAATCCCAGCTACTCAGGAGGCTGAGGCAGGAAAATCGCTTGAATCCAGGAGCAGAAGTTGTGGTAAGCCAAGATCACATCACTGCACTCCAGCCTGGGCAACAGAGCGAGACTGCATCTCAAAAAAAAAAAAAAAAAAAAACAACGTTGTTCAAATGATTCTAATATGTCACAAGTGTTGAGAACCATTGAACACTTCTCCTAGTCTGTTCTGTCTTCAAAAAATGTTTGCACATTTCTCTTCCTATTAAGACTGTGAGCTGCTTGAGAGTAAGAGTATGTGTCACTTACATATCTATATTTCCCCTAGAACAACTAGTACAGTGCCTCTCACATGTCAGGTGCTCAGCAAATATTTGCTGAATTGTAGATTATAGAAAACCGGAATCTACTAGGGACCTACAATGATTCTATTCAATAGTATGAATATCTAATATTAGAGATTTCAGAGAGGTCAGTGTGAAGAATAATCTTTGACACTGTAATAATGAAGAATAAGGGAACAATAAAAGGCAACTCAATTGTTTTTAGGCAACAGATCAAGTTAAAGATCTATGGTGATAGTTCATGAGGTTCAAATGTAAGATTAGGAACTGGTGGGGACTAAGAATAATTGGCTAACTTGGTTGTACTTAGATTTCTCAATGTTTTCTACAAAGTCTTAATACGATGGATAAAGCAATTAACTAAATTAAATAACTGAGATAAAAGAGAAGATTTAGAAGCTGTGAGAAGCTTCTAAAACTTACTTTTAACAAGAAGGGTAATATAATATTATCTTGGAAGTTTCAGAAATGGAGAAAGGCAACATTAAAAGTTCTTAAATCCTCTTGTTAGCTGGGTATAACATTTTTTCATTTTTGCTTATTTATTTCTATTCTTTGTTGGTATGGAAAATATTTTTACATAGTTATGACCAAGTTGTGCAGTCAATTTTATATACTATATGTGTGCTTTTCCATTTAATTGTTTTGTGAGATACTGCTATAGGCTACATTCCTGTTCCCAACATTTCATAACTCTCTGTATCTATACCCTTTGTAGTTCCTAACATTAGAGGTAGAAATAGTTTCCACCCCTTTAATGTGGCCTTGGCCATGTGACTTGGAATGTTAGTAGTTGTGATGCACATAGAGGCTGTACATTGGACTTTCAGCATTGGGCTTGCTCTCTTGGGTTTCTGCTATTTCCATACAGAAATGTGCCCTGGGTGGCCCACCAGCCACTAAGATGTGTGAGTCCAACTTGAACTCAACTTGTGGCCTGGAGCCAAGTTCCACCAGTCCTAACTAGCTCAGCCAAAATCCAGCTGATCTGAAAGTGCATGAATGAGAAATAAAAGCTTATTATGTAATGACCAAGATTTCAAGGTTGTTTGTTTTATAGCTGTAGCTAATGCAGGCATTTTCCTCCTGTTGTAGCACAGTCTTCAATATAATCATTTTTAATGGGTGCACCGCATCCTAGCCAGCTCATATGAAATTTCAATAATCATTCCCCTGTTATTTGTATCACTAGCAATTTTACACCAATAAAATTAAGCCAGGCACATACAAGCCTTTTCTTTTTATGGTATATTTATAAATCCCTGGAGATGGGCTTACTGTATGAAAAGGTGACCTGTAAGAATCACTTTATTGAGATTAGTTCTGATGGGAAGTGAATGGAAAATCCCAATCACTGCATCTCATAACATATAAATGTGTTGCAATAACTAAGGTAGCAAAATGCTGACATCAGGTTCTGATGACAGAAAAGAGGGATTGATATCTTGGAAACAGGTGACTCTGCAAGGGAACATTGAGAGTGAAACTAATGCTCACCACCCTAACCCACAGCTGCAGAGGAAGAACTTAACTTGGAGAACAATGAGCAGAAACAATTATACAACCTTGACACTGTATTAAAAAAAGAATTGGTGGTCACTTAAAACTGACATAGGGTACCAAGAGAAAAGAAAAGATGCCGCTGACCATGAACCGGATCTTTTAATTTTTTTTTAATTAGGTAGGTATGGTGGCTCACGCCTGTAATCCCAGCACTTTGAGAGGATGAGGCAGGTGGATCATGAGGACAGGAGATCCAGACCATCCTGGCCAACATGGTGAAACCCTGTCTCTACTAAAAATACAACAACAACAACAAAGTTAGCTGGGTATGGTGGTGTGCGCTTGTAGTCCCAGCTACTTGGGAGGCTTAGGCAGGAGAATCACTTGAACCCAGGAGGCGGAGGCTGCAGTGATGCCATCTTGGCTCACCACAACCGCCGCTTCCTGGGTTCAAGTGGTTCTCCTGCCCCAGCCTCGCAAGTAGCTGGGATTATGGGCATGCGCTGCTATGCCTGGCTAATCTTGTATTTTTAGTAGAGATGGGGTTTCTCCATGTTTGTCAGGTTGGTCTCAAACTCCCAACCTCCGGTGATCCACCCGCATTGACCTCCCCAAAGTGCTGGGATTATAGGCGTAAGCCACTGTGCCCGGCTAAAAAAAATTAAAAATTTTTTTTTTTTTTTGGAGACAGGGTCTCATTCCTGTTGCTCACGTTGGAGTGCAGTAGCACAATCACAGCTCACTGCAGCCTCAACTTCCCGGGCTCAGGCAATCCTCCCACCTCAGCCTCTGAGTAGCTGGGACTACAGGTGTGTGCCACCACGTCTGGCTAATTTTGGTACTTTTTGTAGAGACAGGGTCCTGCCATGTTGCCCAGGCTGGTCTCAAATTCCTGAGCTCAAGTGATCCACCTGCTTCAGCCTCCCAAAGTGCTAGGATTACAGGCATGAGCCACTGTGCCCACCCTAAACAGGACTTTTTAAAAACAGAAACTCTGGCATAGAGAAATCCATTTGGGAAAAGAGGAGAAAGTGTAGAGGTCAACTAGATCTTCTATGAAGCTAAATTGCCCTCATTTCCCCAAGGTTTTGGGTAGGCTGAACATAAAATTAATTTTAAGAAGTTTCCATCTGAAATAAGTACAAAGCAGCCAGAAATGGTGGCTCATGCCTGTAATCCCAGAACTTTGGGAGGCCGAGGTGGCGGATCACGAGGTCAGGAGTTTGAGACCAGCCTGACCAACATGGTGAAACCTTGTCTCTACTACAAATCCAAAAATTAGCTGGGCATGGTGGTACACATCTGTAATCTCAGCTACTCAGGAGGCTGAGGCAGGAGAATCATTTGAACCCAGGAGGCGGAGGTTGCAGTGAGCCAAGATTGTGCCACTGCACTCCAGCCTGGGCGACAGAGCAAGACTCCATTTAAAAAAAAAAGAAAGAAAGAAAGAAAGAAAGAAGTACAAAGCTTATAATAACTACTTTCTACTATTTATTGAGATCCTCTTACAACTGGCTACAATTGGCTAAATGCTTTGCAAAATATTTTTAGTTATATCATCTACAACATGGAGATATTTCACAGAATTGTGAAATATCTACATATTATCTGAGAAATATCTACATATTATCTCCAGATTGCAGATAATACAACTGAAGCACAGAGAATTTCCCTTTCTCAAAGTCACATATCAAGTAAGTGGCTAAGCTTGTTAAATATAACATTTATTTATTTATTGAGATGGAGTCTCACTCTTTCGCCAGGCTGGAGTGCAGCGGCATGATCTTAGCTCACTGCAACCTTTGCCTCTTGGGTTCAAGCGATTCTCCTGCCTCAGCCTCCTGAGTAGCTGGGACTACAGGCATGTGCCACCATGCCCGGCTAAAATTTTTTGTATTTAGTAGAGACGGGATTTCACCATTTTGGCTAGGCTGGTCTCGATCTCCTGACCTCGTGATCCACCAGCCTCGGTCTCCCAAAGTGCTAGGATTACAGGTGTGAGCCACTGCTCCCAGCCCAAATATAACATTTAAATAGAATCCTTGTTCTCATAATCCCAACTCTGAGAATTTATAAATACTCTGAAAATATTCTCTAGAGTATGCTGGAGTATTCAGAGTGAACAAGTATACTTATGTTTGCCATCAGGGTCCCCTGTCAAGCTCTTGTCTCTGGAAAGTGTTAGCCTTTATTGTAAGCAGACAGCTGACTAGCCCATACTGTTTCCTATAATTAACATCTGCAGTCATCACAGAGCCTTTTGACCATTCTGGAAAAGTCCAAATTTCTTGATCTGCAAGGCTCAGGATCAGACTCTGGTCATATTTCTGACCCATCCAGGGTCAGGCCCTCCTGACATGACCTGCCAGACCCCCTCTAAGGCTGCTG